TGATTAGACATCAAGGTCCTATAATTCTAAAAAAAATTGTTAAAACATTGTCATTAATTAAAATATTTTTTTATAGTGTGATACAAAAATCATAAGACAAATAGATGGTGTCAAATGATAGAAAATAACTAGCCATTACAATTTCAAAATTTATTCTAAGCTTGTTTTACTTTTATTTACACTTACACCAACCCTTACACTCTTGTTTCAAGAGTTGATGCTTAGCTATTGCTTGATACTGATTGCAGGTTTGGCATGATGTCCCAGGAGAGAACCCTGAGCTCAAAGATACTTGAGCCCAGGGCTCCTGCCTGGTCATATAGCATAAAACGGGGTCCAAGATCAGCAAGGTATTGAAAGCTCCCCTTGGTAAAGGTGGAAATAGGGGGATTCTTCAAAACGAAGATACTTGAAGTAAAACAAACCAGGCTATTTACTGAAGGCTAGGATTTATCTGATTGGTTTAACAATGATTGGGATGCGGGACCAGCTGTGATCAATCATAGCATGTGATCCCTTTAAAAGTAATTTATAAAACTCCACTTAAAAAATAAAATTAATCAGAATTTTCAGCGCAAATATTATTTGTTCAACTTAACCCAATTCAAATCAGTTCATTTGACCCACTTTGGTACAATTTTTGTGCATTACAAAAACCAGAAGTTTACCCTTTTATCATCCTACATAAATACTTCCATAACTAGATTTTGACGACTGCTAAACTATTGTTACATTACTTACTTTCCAACACCGATTCTGACTGCAAAACAGTGTGCAATGCTAGCAGTGCTCTGTTTTAGCATTCAGTGTTTGTCATACCCAAAATCCTATCTAATGCCCTTCAGAGACAGAGAGCAGTGCACTGTTTGTGAACATCTGCACTGGTCATTAGAACAAGCGATGGCCTCAATCTTTCAGCTGCCTTCAAAAAACGACTGCGAGGAGAAAACAAGACAAACTACACCGGGCCGCATTGCGCTAGTCCCGCAGGAGACACCAGGCTAACCTTTAACAGACAACACGGCTGCGACTTTGCTTCTTTAGTGTCACGTCAGCTGGAAGTAAATAAATAAACGCATTCATATTTGAGAATGATTGCTCTTAACTAAACTAGAGCACTGGAGAACTTCTGAACTAAGAAGTTATGCTTTGGTGACCTTTACGAAATTACAAGGAGAGTTAGCCGAAGGGGAAAAAATGAGTATTGCACACCTGCACAGCACACGAAACATAGATTAAACTAAAATAGCTGATTGCACACGGTTTGTGTTGAGGTCCACATAGTGCGATTTTTCAAATAATTTGTCTCTGTCTCCTTAGGTGGTGACTCTTTGGACTGCTCCGTGGCACAAACCCAAATATGATGCTTCTCATGTTTTTCAAGGGCGATAGTGGGCGAACTTCACTTTGCATGGTGGTGAAGAGCAGCGATTGCATCCGAGGTACAGTGTATTTTCCCCTTTATAAAGAGTGTAAGCCACCTACATTTTTTAATGCCTCTACTTTATCTTTGTCGTTCAAAATGTGCAATCCTGAAATCATTGTCGCAACAAAGTAATTATAATTTATCTGTGCTGTAAATGCGCAGCAGAAACGAATCACAAGACCAATTCCGTCCTCACATTTTGTTGACCTACAGATAAACATGTGGCACATCCATAAATGCATATAATCTGCAGATGCAAAAAACTGTTTGAAAAAGTCAAAGATACATTTTTATGGTTCATTTCCAAAAGTTTACACAGCATAAGGTAGATGCGGACCACAGAGTGGTTCCTGAATGAAGGCCGAGAGAGGAAGGGAGTGGAAAAAAAAGCAAGTTATTACAACCAAACCGTGCTTTACATGTTGGTTATCTTTCACCGATAGCCAGCTTTCCATAACGGTAATAAATCCAGTCATGTTGACTGCCCTGTGAGTTTGCCTGCATTTACAATCTTAGTAAAACCACTGTAGAGGAAAATTGAAGTTGGATTAAAAAAATGAATGAATAGATAGATAAATAAATAAGTGGTCACCCTGCGCTGTCTTTAAAATGGATGCCTGAAATTTACAGTTTTCCATTAACTGATGCCTAACAGCTTCCCTGCTCGCATGCTAGGCTTTCCTGTCGGTAACTACTTTCTGACAGGGTTCATTTTTGCCCGTTTCTCGACTTGCCTTTTTGGTCTGCTCCTTTTAACTTTATCGCTTCCCGCTATGAAATGTAACTGCATCGGCATAAACACTGGCATGCCGGTTATTACCTTTATCATCAATGGAGATGTCGGCTTGGTATCAAAAGAATCATTTGTTGTTGATATGACAGGTCGTTTTTCTGTATATTCAGAGCAATCGTCAGGCCCGACTCGATAATTACCTTCTCGATGCTTTGAATATGAAACGAATGATATTCTATCCTCAAACCAAAAAAACGATTTCTGCCTCTCCTTTCAACAAAACCCCACATCATCCTTGATAAAACATACTAAGGGAGACAGGTCCAGGAAGGCATAAATCTTTTTTTTTCCCTTATTTAATTTGTTTTTGTGTGTGTTGCGATAGGGATTATTATTTCTCAGCTGGTGGGATCACATCGCTCATGGTTGTAGACCCCTGAAGAATTCTATTAACCCTGGTTATGTCAGCCTTAATAACATGCCACACTGCTAAACAGGACTGGATTGATTCTGTGCGGACGGTGGGGGTGGGGGGGAATCTTGTATAATAAATCCAAGCATAATTTACTTGGAATAAGGACGGGCGAACGAGAACACAGAACAAAGAGGAAGGGATTAAGTCTATCTCTTATCTCCCCTGCACTAACTTAAGAAAATAAATAAGGAAACGATCCAATCGAGGGGAGTGCGGGAGGACTGGTGGTGTTGCAGATGTGATTTGAGGGACTGGTAGTGTGCCATGCTCGCCCCTAATTTGCTGTTGCAGAGAAGACGTGGAGCTGGAGGTGAAGAAAGACTTTGTGATGGCCAGAATCGAATCGATTTAGTATCCTTGAACTTTGAGGATGAAAGAATCACATTAGGTGCATTAGGTTTAGCGGTTGAGGTGTTCGAATTATTAAAAGGTAGAAAATACACATGCGCATGGTAGAAACCCTTGGCGTAGCTCATACACTGCCATCTCCTAATGACACATCTATCTCTGCCGCTGTTGTTTGAGGCACCAACTTGTCGTGAATGAAGATGCAGTTTAGCAGGGCACAGTCAATGAGGCTTACTGCGAGATGGTAATCTCAGCCTGCCTCTGGCCCTCTGGCGATGCTTTACAGTCGCGTTTCCCCAAAGCCTGCTTGTGTACCGCGCCTAATGGAGACTCTCTCATCGCCCATGCCAAAATTAAATGAACTGTGCCTTTTCAAAAGCGCCTACTGTAGCTTCTAGCACTCTCACAAAGCTGTGACTCCCTGGAGCATCTCGTTGAGCGTTTGTATCATTTTATATACATAGCGCACACGTTTACATGTACAAGTGTGTGTAACTGCTTGGTAGAAAGACTAGGAGGGAACAAAATGCTGCACTGATTGAGTTGCTTCATGCTAATTCTGATGATACAATGATGGTAAATTGTAAATGAACACATCGTAACTCTGTGGTAATGGTTTTGTTGCATTGATCCTAATATCTTGATAATATCATTAAATTAATATCCTAGTCTTTCGATTCACTTATTTCAAGTGTGCAATCTGACGATGTCAGGCTTGATGTAAATTAGGTTATGTGAGATAAAGAGAATAATGCACTAATATAGCTTCATAAGTATTTTGATACCTAATGATACTCAGTAAACATATGCGGGTCAAAACTGCCCCAAACATATGATGTGTAACATCTCTCAAAAGATCATTTTAGGTAATTTAAGTATCCTAAATTATATATCTATACATTTTTAAAGATGCTTTCATGAATTATCTCAAAGACTATAATTGACCCAAATGCGACATAAGGACAAATTTTAATTGCATTGGTCCCACTTTATATTAAGTGGCCTTAACTAATATGTACTTTCACATGAATTAATAGTTTGTTACAATGTACTTATTGTGTAAATACATGTATTTACTATGTACTTATGCTTGATTAAATACATGTATGTAATTACATCTGTCATTAACGTTTGTAATTACATTTGTAAATACACTGTTGACCATCCCTTACACCTTAACCCACCCTTTCCCTACCCATGCCACCAAACCTGTCCATAACCCAACCTCTACCCCAACTTAAAAGCACCACAAGTGTTCTCAAATACATTATAAACACAGTAAGTACATTGTATTTATTTTTTGATGTAAGTACATAGTAGTTAAGGACACTTAATATAAAGTGGGACCATTGCATTTTTAAAATAATAGTTTAGAAAAATTGTTGCATAGTCAAAAATCAAAGGTCAAATGACGCAACCATTTTTAATCACCTAAAGGCCAAGAAAAAGAAACTCAAAGATTTTTAGATTGCCATTCCTTCTGGAGGATTGTTTTTGCAGAAAGCATTTGTCAGAAATGCAGCAGACTTGTTGCTTTAAAAGTCCTGCTTGTTTGGGACCTGGATAGAAAAGCATGTAATTGAGAGGTCGGGTTTCTAGGGAACCCTTCCATCAGTGGACAAAGGTAAGCTGATTGAACAAGAACCAGGGTGGTCTCTGGCTAAACAATGCCCCTCCATCAAGCTTCAGTGTGTTGATTGGATCCAACAAGTGAATCCATTGAAAACTCACAGAAATGGCAGCAGTTTATAGGCTCATAAAGATCCCCTTTCAGCTCCTTTTTCTATTATGAAGAGCAAAGGATATCTAACAGCATGGGAGAACGCTGGGCGTTAAGGGCAGCCATTAAAGCCAGTGTTAACAGCAATATGGCTCATTGTGGCATTTGGCTTTGTTTGGGATTTGACACAAGGCCCAAGAGAGGTCTCTTTTGAATGCGGTTCAGGTTTCAGTGACATCTTGTAACGTGCGATCAGTGGTGTCTACAGGGTGATACAAATAGTGAGTGTTTCTCTTACCGTAGGTAGTCCCTCCGACAGAGGATGAGGTTGGCTTTGGTGTACAGTGTGGATCCCACCTCGCCGAGTCTGCAGTCGCAGCAGGCACACTTGAGGCAGTCTTCGTGCCAGTACTTGTCCAGGGCCTTCAGCAGGTAGCGGTCCTTGATTTTCCGGTTGCAGCCGGCACAGCCCTTTGGCTTGGTGTCCGGCTGGACGGAGAGCATTTGTATACCTGCGGAGAAAGGGTGACAAGTTGAGAACATAGTTCCAGGTGTCTTTTGACAGTAAATTATGTGCCGTGCATTTCAATCAAGGGGTGAACACACAGTATTTTATCAACAATAACAAGAAGCCAATGTAGCTAACATCCTCCTCTTCCCCCTCTTTAGGGGAGGGACCAAAGCTTGCCCCCAGAGCAGGCATTGTGTAGCCCTTTACAGGGCGTGAAAGGGCTTTGTTGGGTAGAAAGGGAACAATGTGGGCTCATGCTGAAGGCCCGTAATTAGTATTCTCCCTCCATACAGAGTAGAGTAAGCTGTACCCCACTTCCCCCCACGCCACTGCTCCTGTCCCGGCCCAAAAAGTTTTTGTCCCACATTTTTACAAGTACGTCTGATTTTGCCCCGTTGTCCTGCTTCTGCGACAGTCCCCATTTCTCACCTTGTGCAGGAGAAGCTGTCAGAGCCATAGATTCCACCTAATGTATATGCTGCTCTTGGAGGGGGTGAGAGCGCAAGCAGTGAGAAATTGTGAACTTTGAGTGAGAGGGTCACCGAGAGATTTCTCAGCTGTGGTAAATTGAGTGTCTCTGTCTGAATTGAGGACCTCCCTCGGGATAGTTATAATGCGCTCGTCGCCACGATGCGTTGTCCAGGCAATCTCGCTGAAATACATTCATAGAGGAATATGAGATTAAAAAGCCTTGTTTGGACTACTTGACAAGAAAAGTGTTAGATTCTGCACACACACAAAAATCATTTACTCACCCTCGTGTCATTACAAGAGCTTCAGTGTTTGGATGAAAAAAAGTAAAACATGCAATGAAAGTGAAACATCCGTAATATCAGCTTTCGCATTCTACGGAAGAAAGGGTCTGGAATGGCACAATGGTGAGTAAATGATGTTAGAATTTATTTTTGGCTGCACTATCCCTTTAAATAGTCGTGCATGTCAACACTTTTGCAGACCATTAAGACTCTTCCATAGCTAACAGAGAGAGAGTTTGCCGCTTCTCTTTTTTTAACATGTGGCCTTGACGATAATTACTTTCAAAAATGATTTGCCAAAAGCGTGGCAGTTGGCCCTCACAGAAAATAAACAAGACAGTGCACCAATTAGTAAGACTGAGGACAGGTGTGAAATTGTTTCAATTCAACTGAGCATTACAATGCAGGGAAAGGAACAGCAGGTAGCCGATCCCTCTAGGGTCATAATTATAGCCTAGAGCAAATATCTGATGCAGTACCATAGGCTTAGACTGTGAACAACTTCTTTCTGCTGTAAGACCATGCTCGTTAAGATGTAGGAACATTCAATGAAAACGAGGCAAGGGATAATGATGATTCCTTCGACCTCACTGGCGTTTTTATGATGCTTTATTTTGAGTTTATTCAAAGGCGAGGGCTTGATGAGGGGAAAACAGCAAGGAGGCACATCAGACAGGTAGCACCGCCGCACTGTTTGTCCCATTGTGTTTAAGCTGTTGAGCTTTTAATTGGCTGGATTGGATTGTAAGAGAAGCACACGGCTGATTTCCTCTGCTATGCGTCCTTGTTCAGTCCCACTCATCCGCACAGCCCTAGCTCGTCTGGTTAACACAACAAAGTCACCGCCTCTCATTACCAAGCTAAAGAAGTTAGAGTTTCGACTCCCCTCCGTCTGCAATCACTGTTAGTCCCAAATGAATCGATTGTGAAACAAACCAACTAGACCTTCTATTCAGAGCTTGGATGCCCAATTCGGTGTTCTCTAATAGGAGTGTGGGATGTTCATGGCCTCATCGATTTTGTTATTTCAAATAGTGAACAAAAGATTATTCTAACACGAGGATTGGGCCAGGGTAGGCATTTTATAAACACAAAAACTAAATGATTTTGCCACTGATGCAGAAAAACTGCCCTGAACCACACTGAGACTGTTTTCTGCACTTAGCATGGTCATTTTAGTTCAAATCATGAACTCATGACTCGTTTGAACAAGTTCTTATTAGTGAATCGGAATCATATAGTTCGATTCTAGATTCAGGTTTCGTTTTCGTGAATATGAAACATACCGGTTGAACAGTACAGCCTAAATCCAAATCGAGTTACCCTTATGAGTCGGTTGTTTTTAGTGAATCCGAGACATGCAGTGCTAATAGTGTAGTTTGACTTTTGAACAAATGACTCTTGTGAGCCGATTCTTTTTAGCGATTCAAAATTAGGGAATCATTGGAGCTTTTCCTGGAGTAACATGACGGTTGGTTGAACTTCTGTTATTATTACTTTCGTTATGTTCCACTTGAAATTAAGAAACAATTATAACAGTGTAATAGCCCATTTAAAGCTTGTGAGGTGTAATACTTACCGAATGTCATTTATTTTTATTATAGGGGTATTTTTATAATCAGTATCAGGCTTGGTTTTATTTTACTAAATGGATTAAGCCTTGTCACAGTTTTTTGTTACGTCACAATTTTTATTTAGCATCTTTATATTGGTTAAACACGTCACATTTGACTGCATTTCTGCAGCTCTGAAACGTGACATCTCATAAAGTCTGTATAAACGCATCTTTGGAAAGAACTACAATACATTTCTTATATGTTATATAAGTTTATATAAGGTTTAGCCTATATAAAATCTGCATGGATCTCATGGTTTGGCAATAGATGTCTAAGCAAAGTAAATACAATACGAAGCTCAGTTCAGCATTTCTTCATCAGGAGTGCTAAAAGCAGCATTAACGGAACGGGATCGTTACGCACGAAAGAATTCGCAACTAAAATCGTTTATGTGCTACTCATCCCTATAGGCCCGGGACATTGGTGTCTTTTTTGTCTTTGCTCACTCAGATATTTCATCATGTCCCGTTCGCATAGTGATGCTCTTTGTGCGCTTCCCTGTTCGCGGATACTGATGGGGGAAATTTCGAGGCGAGACTTGGCAAACACCGGGCGCAAAGTACCAATTTGATTTCACATCACAGCTGCGCGAGCCGGAGATGCTGACATTTCACCCTCTTATCAGTTTAATTACTGTTGCCATGGCAGCCTAGTGCACGGAAAAGGCCAATAAGATTTGCAGCTTGCAAAACGACGAAATGAAACCGCTAACGTGTTAGAAACGATGATACGCGGCGACTCACCACAGCCCGTTATTTACAATTGTCTAAGCAAACCACGAAAATTCACACCGGGGAAATGAGACAAATGCGTCGGCTCGGTCAAATGCAGCTGCACAGCGACAAAACTACGCATGGAAACATCCCAAGTACTCAGCCACTCGTTTAACCAAACCATCACACACACACTGATATGATGCAAAACGCAGCTCTTACCGAAACTTTTCTCCCTTTTCTGCATTGGTTGACCCGCTTCGGCTCCCAGAAACACCATGCAACAAGACGAGGCGCGAGCCAAAGATGCGCGTGAAGTGAGCAGCTGTATGCGCGCGAGGGTGCTTCGCTTTTGTTACAAGTAACAATCCAGCTCGCTCCGGCAGAAAAGAGTGAAAACGACGAAAACACCAATCAACAAAACACGGGAGGGAGAAAGAAAGAGCGAGCGAGCCGCTATCGCTCAGCGCCACACGCTGTTAAGACTCCGTTTGTCACAACAGTGCTCGACTATGAAATTAGATCGACCAGCAGCCGTGGCGAGGCAAGTGGCGGCGAACAAATGACAGCGGATGACAAAGGCATATGCTTTACCCCTTCGCGCGCGCCGTAATCTTATAATCCTATCGTGCCTCTCGCTATTCGCCTATTTCAGTGCGCTACAGTAAAAGGCACGAAGTTGGATGTATACAAGAGACAACATGCAGGAACTCGCATATACTAAAACGCAATCAAGCATTCATGAACTGCATATCTTCTGATTCGTGCCACATTTTTAGGATATAAACACGGATGCAACCCAACAGCTTTCGCAATCTCTTTCAAGCTCTAGAAATGCACCAAGTTCCTCTTATTCAATAACTTTTGTGTTAATAAACTACATGCATCAATCCCATGTTACAGTTTTAAGCATATATCACGTTTTCTGTGGTTTGTCACTGAAGTCACAGAGGAATAATTTGTTTTGTTTGTTTATAAAATATTTCAGTTTTCTTATAAAACATTGAACAATTTAATAATATGAATGCTTATTTACTACTATAACAAACCTTTTGTGGAATGGAAAGGTTACGTGTAAGTTAGACGCTTTTCATTAAACCACTGATGCCCATAATGAACCCATATTTACTCTGAATATCTGTTGTTAGTTCCTGTCATGCAGACAGATTGTGTAAAAACAATCGTTTTGTGCATGCTCCACAATGTGCATACATGACAACACACCTGGCTTTTTGCAGGATTAGTTTATTCTGAAATTAATTGAATCACGTGCACAAATGATCCGACGCATGCAAACCTGAAGCTTAAACACTAACGATAAAAGCAACCCCTGTTCATTAAGCAGTACGTGTATTTAACTCCAAAAGAAATACAAGAAATGCGTTCGGTAAAGACAATTAAAGCGGCGCACACTCACCTTCTTGACCAAGTTACGCAGAAGGTTAAGTTAGGATAGCACCGACTCCAACTCAATATTCCTCGGAGCAAAAGTTCACGAATCTGACATTGCACCGCGGATAAGAGTGATCTTCAGGTTAAAAATAATGAGGTCCACATGGATCATCTACGAGTAGTTGTTCGCACCAAAAGCTACAGGTGTTCTCGCGCGAGCCGTCATGTATTGAGTATTCTGAGAAGGCTCACAACAACTTGCCCATCAGTGAGTGAGGAACGAGGAATAGTGAAGCCTAGCTTTATTATCTTCAAACCCAATCCCTCACCAGTGAGACATTACACGAGGAGGAAAAGGTCATTCGGTTATTACCGACAGCCGGAGTAACGGAGCGCGCGCTCGCTAACACAAACTTAATGCGCACCTCTCTGAGACGCGCGCGAAAACATGCTATGAGCTCTGTACTACACGTTTACACACACACACTCTCTCTCTCTCTCTCTCTGTCACTCTTTGTTTTAGCAGCTAGGCAACAATTTCGTGCTGCTACATAGTGAGAGCAGAATAGGTCTGATTAATAAAACATTTATGCATGCATATGCATGTCTGTCAGTATATGGACAGCTGTTTGTGCACGTGCGTCTGTTTTACTCTTAATTATCCTAATGCAAGCAAACACACTCTGAGAAAAACAAAAAGAGATTCCAATTACATCAACAACAACAACAACAAAAATGCTTTTACGCATTAGTGCCTTTATCAAGAACCTTGAGTGTCACAAATAACTTTTATTTCTGCGTTTAGTTTGAAAAACAGGCATATAAGATGCTGCAATGGAGTTAAAGTGCTTGTAGAAAGTGCATATAATTTAACATATTATGAAGAATGTAGGATTTGATGTCAGAATAAGGAAAACCTAATATCAATTTTTTTTAATCTACAAAAAAGCTCAAAATGGCTAAAACATACCAAAAACAAACGTTGAGGCACTCAGTTTCCATAAATGCGCAAACTCATTCATTTGGACTTCTACAGCATTCTTAAGCACATCATTTTGAAATCTTTCAATATGTCAGTCTCCTATTGAATCAGCACACCCAATTCATTCAGTATTCAGTGATTAATAATAGTTTGTATACTGTGCTTGAACAGACCAAATTAATCATAGGAGCCATTTAGGGTAATTTGAAAAACACATGCTATTCCCTAACTTTTGTCTTGTATGTACCTCCGCACTCCAATTGATTTGCCTCAAATACCAAACCATGTTCTTATTAAACTCATATTACATTTGATTTCATTTAGCATGGACATTATGCATTTTAAAGTCACTTAATATATCAATACTGCTGGTGCTTTTTGAAATGTGTGTGCACATGATGTAGCTCATTGTGTTTCCTATTCTAAATCTTTTCAGGTGTCCCTGGTGCCTATTATACACCCTTGGGGTCAGTATTTGTAATCACTAGAAATTTAAGAGTCAGATTATTTTTTGACTTCAACATGCTAATTATTCACAAAAGTGAAAACATACCAATGAAGAGAAGAGTGTAAAAAGCACATCATGTTGTATGTAATAACACATTTAAAATAGCCTTTTCAGTTCTTAATCTGATGACCTCTGCAAAAACCTACAGAATCTAGCACTTTGTGTGTGAGATCTCTTTCTCCAGCAATCACATTATTGGTTCATCTGCACCCGTTGAGGCCTAAATCAAACTGTATTAGCCAGATACACAATACATATTTTCGATAACTGAAGATAAACTGGCACGCACAGTATGTGATTGCTGTCCACTTGCTATAAGTCCATAAATATCAGGACAAAACTTGTAACTGTGTATTCATGTGTGAGAGAGAGATTAATAATTTTCACTGTTTTCACAGTTTTTTTTCTCCACAGTCTGTTTCTAAAGCTATTCCTCGCCCATTGGTTACACCTGTTCACTCTAATTAGCACTGCTTGATGCCCATGTTGCCGAGGTAGGATGAATCACAGGCCTTCAGTGCCACCTACCCTCCTTCCTCACACACATACACACGCACAAAAGGAAACATAATCACACAGTCAGTGTAGAGTTTATTTTCTGTCATGGCCCAAAAGTAGTGTGCAGTTTAAAAGTGACTAAACTGAGAATGTGGAGACGGAGAACTGATGGTAACAAGAGTTGGGTAGTGGTAAGATTGTGGCCCCATGCCAATCACTCTCTGCCTAAAATACAGCAGTAATGAGATGGGTCATAAAATGCTCCTCGCTTCCATTATGAGTGATGAGATGCATTAAAGCTGACAGGGTATTACCTGCCAGTAATTAGGTTTTGTCATGGATTGAATTATTTCAAAGCGGGCTATCTTGGTAATCATGCAATTTGCGGGGGAGACGCTTTAAGCTGAGTAAAAAGGAAAGGGAGAGAGAGGGAGAGTAGGGGACGCTATAACCCCTTCTTCTTTCTCTACCCTCCCGCCACCACTTCATCTCGCGCATTATCACGTCAATTATTCACCGAAGATATCTGAATTATTGGGGGTGATGAGCTAGAGAGTGCCATCATCAGACTGTGCCGGGTGAGGTGAACTCAGCCGTCCGTCACGTAACGTGACGCTCGCGTGAAACAGTACAGCGCGCAGCCGCGTGGCGGGAAGCGCGAGCGCACTTGGCGCGAACGGACGTCGTTAAAATGAAGAGCTGCTTATTATTTCGCCTCCCTCTCTCTCTGTCTCTCTCTCACTCCTTCTCACACACCCCCTCTTTCGCACACAGACTCGCGATATAACGTCAGCAGAGAGAGGGATATCCGACAGACGACCACCCCACTTCATCCGAGCACGAGCAATGCAGGTTCGTTTTGTGGTAGAAATGAAAGCGGGAGTTTAATTACCGGGCTTCACAAGAGGGGGGAGGGGGGGGGGGGGGGGGGGGATAAATCTGTTTCTGTGAGGATTGAAGTAAAAAAAAAAAAGATATTTCCTAGTACTCTTACCCTGGTTTAAGCCTCCTTTGAGCATCTCCAGCGACCATTCATTTCACGGAAGCTTCAACTTAATCCCAGTTTTAAACCGCTGCTAGTAACACACAGAGAACCTAATGCTCCCGCGCACCCACCACAGTCACTCTCTTTGTAAAACGACTATAACTCCTTGTTTAGGAGAGAAAGCGTCAAAGTAGTTGGCAATTATCCTGAGATCCTTTATCCTAACAACCTTAATTAGAACTAAAGATCAGCACCAATTAGTTCCGGTTTAGGGTCAGATTAAAACATTGCAAGAACAATCATTTTCCAAGCTTCTTAATGAGGCTGCAGATCAGAATATGTTTGAGGAGCAAGAAGAAAAAAAATCTGATTGAAAGATCAAAGATACTGTACCGAGGAAAAGTTGCAGATTAAGACGAGATGGAAGCTCAAATATAGCCGGTTCCCTTGTCAAGTTCCAGGCGAGCGGGTTAAAAACACGCAGCCCGCCTTGGTGCAACTCCTCCTCGCTCCTTTTCTAAAAAGATTCCCCTCCTTCTCCCCACGATGGCTGTTTCTTCGCTTGCGATCTCGTTCCCTCCCTGGCAGCAAAGCAAAACAGACCTGAGCCGGCCCGCACGTCTCCTCGCCTATTTAAGCACCTTCACCAGGTCCCTAGTTAGCAGCACACTCCAGCTCATCCAAGAAGCTGACAAGCACCGTTAGGGAAGGCAGCGCATGTTGCTCTAATGGACCTCATTAAGTTCTACTTACAGATGTTCTCTTAACATAATTGATCTGCAGCGAGTTGAGAGGACGGCAACCTATTCCCTAGCCCCCAATTATGGCCCGGTAATTAGATCCCCAACCTCCAGTTCTCCACATTCACCCTTCTAACATTCCGAAATATCAAAGTATCTCTTTCTCTCAAAGCAAACCCTCCTGCCTCCCCCACCACCTAACCTTCGTGTCTCCACCTCCTTTGCTCCCTCCCCTCCCTAAGACTCCATTCCTCTGACAGTATTGACAGTCAGATCTGCTAACCTTTGTAGTGAAGCCAGACTTAGTAGTGCACTCACTCCAATTGACAGAGCTCAGTCTAGCTTTTTTCCCTTCTCGTTTTTTTGCTCCCCCTCTCTCTCTCTCTCTGGTTCTCCTTTTCTCTCCCTGCCGAAATACCCAGGGAAAGAGTGAAGGATGGAGCGTGAGACACAAATGGAGGGGGGGTAGACGGATGGATAAAAAACAAGTTTGCACTTTTTGATAAAAGGTTGTAATGATAATATCTGTCAGGGGAGAATCTCTTTTTTTTGCACAATGCCTTTTTATCTTTAATAATTCCTCTGATGGTGAATGTGAGTGCAGGGGGAAGAGGCAGGTGGTGTGAACGGTGAGCTGATTTGGCGCAGCGTTTATAATGCCAATCAGAGCCACTCCCTTCACCCCCTTAATTATCCACTGCGCTAAAACACGAAGCACTTTAGGGAAATGAGAATGTCAAGCTTACGCACTTAAAAGAGGAGACTGTTTCGTCACACAGGTAGGAAAGGGGGAAAGGGTAGGTGCTTGGTGCCAATCATCGACATCATTTTTGTAGATCATGCACAGTTTGTGTTGTTAATGTGACATGAACGTGTAGGCAGCAGAGCTTTGTGAGAGCGCAAACATTTTAATGTGCTGTTTTACAGGCTTTTCAAAGAAGTCCAGATTGTATTTTTTTTATTCTTCATAAAGGCCCTGGTGTACTCCACCCTTCTTGAAACCTTTGGCCCATTTTTTCAAAGTAATATACAGTAACACTTTTGATTTAGTTGTTTTTGGCGTATTTGCATCCTTTAATTACTAAAAAATACAACAGTTGTACAAATTACAACTTAGTTGACAGGAATCGCCATTGTCTCAAGCATTTGTGTCAAGTAATATGAATGAGACAAGTATACTTCTGGCTTTACTTGCAGTATTGTATGCAAAGTTTATTTATAAACTAATTTCGAGAGGATCACGTGCTTATAATTGACCACAGCCGGTCCTGCATTAGCTAATCATGATCCTCCAGTCACATGATTCCTAGGTCACTGTAAATAACCAGAGTCTTCGTTCTACAACTATCTTCGTGTGGAAGAAACACCCCTTCCTCCCCTTCTCCTCCCCCATTCACCTAGACTGGGCGGCAAGGTGGCCTAGTGGCTAGCACTGTTGCCCCACAGCAAGAACACTGCTGGCTGTGGTCCTCGCAGAGCCGGTTGGCGAGAGATTGAATGTTCTCCCTGTGTCCGCGAGAGTTTCCACCGGGTTCCGGTGCCAAATGGACACTATAGTCTAGCTCCAAGCATAATTTTTTTTTTCTTTCTCAAAGTAGTTTAACTTAGACACATCAGCGGGGGAGTTTTTGAGATCTAGCTGAGCTCAATCTCACATATCGCCCTGTGAAAGAGAGGAGGGAGGGAGCCCTGGGCTCAATGATCCCTTGAACTCAAGGTTTCTTCCAGGACAGCATGCAAAACAAGCTTATTATAAGTCATCAAATAAGTGTGAACTCTTGAAGAGCCTATATGATGTATCAACAATTGCTGAAGATGCTGTTGTTAATAATAGGGAGTATTTATTGCAATGTCATCTTCTAGGTGTGGCCACATTAAATTTGTTGCTAATTTAGATCGTTAATCAATCATGTTATTTTATCAGTTTACCTAGGCGTCACATCCAAACCATACTGCTTTATAAGGGTAAATGCTACTTAAAAGTTTATTTAAAAAACCCTAAAAAGTTAACCAATCATCTTAAACGTTTATTAACCTGATAGCCAGGGCCAGACAGAATCTGCGGACGTTTTTAGCTATTTCTGCGGAGAATTTTGGTAAAAATCTGCGGATTTCTGCGGAATTATTTTGGGAGTATCCAGCGGAGTATCATAACTAAAACCTTAATATATGAAATAAAAAGTAATAAATTACTGAACAAAAACTAAATAAATTTATATTTACACATTTACTCATGTGTATAAACAGAATTAATGATGGGCTAAAAATCTACAGAAATCTGCAAAATTCTGCGGAAAATCTGCGGAAAATCTACGGAATTCTGCACGCGCAAATTCCGTGTGGGCCTACTGATAGCCAGCACTCACTTTTGAGGATTTACACCTACCTAACTTTAAAGAGTAACAGTTCTTGACCCCAGTGAGCTATAAACATAAATTCAAAATCATAAATCAAAAATTGAGCTTTACTATGGTCCATAGAATGTGCCTAGAAAGTTTCATGCTAAAAATAGGAATTGTTATACTTTATGAAGTAATGAAAGAATACTATTCCAAAAAACAATTGAGTCAATAGGCTTAATTAAAAGGCTACTGTAGGGTATGCCTTAAATAAAACATGTTGGCCATATGGGATATTTGGTTTCATTTTGTTCCCCTCAAATGGGGAGTAAACCATGAATGCTTCTGAAATTGTCACACATTACAACCTGGATAACCTTCACAATTGAATATTTACTATTTACATTGCCATTCATTTGACAAACAAAGCACATGAGCTACAGTATTACACATCGGTTTGACTTATTTTCTCAAAAATTGTAGCATTCTGTTTCTCCTGCAAAGACTTTTGACCATAAACCGTCAGAAAAGATCTCTTCTTCACTCCAATTAATATGTTTTCTGTTACTGGTTGACATATTGATTTCCTCCCCTCTCACTCTGAAACAAAACTCAACATGAGAAAGTTTCTCTGACTGTACAAAGCACATGAATATTTAATGAGGCCAGCACTGTTTGGCTTTTGATTGGTTGTTTGTCGCTGAACAGTTTGCTGTTACATTCACATTGTTGTATACCACTAATAGGGTTCCATAACAGAGTCTTTAAAGCATTGGTAAGCATCTTTATAAATGGTAAGCATTGCTTTTCCAATTGATAAAAGCTTGGTCAGACAATAACTTGTGTTTATCAAGTCTAATATACAACATTATTTAGAGATAATTATATTTAATATTATTATCTTGATTGGATAGATGCAATATTTAGTATGGATTGCCTGTAGTCATCAGAGAACATGTGTTTGTATCCAGGTTCCTTGCCATTTGGTCTTTTATATCCTTATTTTACTGGCTTAGCTGTTGCCCCGTTGAGACTGTGAAGCGTGCACTTTTATATTCATCCTGCACATCTCATCATCTTCTTTTGCCTTTCAAAATCCCAAATAAGTTACCGACAATATACTAACCCCTTTGACTCTGGTACAGAGTCGCACTCAATCTAATAACACACACTGTACAGTAGATTCCCAGAGTTCTCTGCTCCCAATGGACACAATGGGACACATGTGACTTTGCACTAACGACCACAAGAGCCTCTCCTTAAAGAGACACCCAATAATTGCTTCAGGTAGGTGACCCTCAACCAGGGTCAAGGGATTCCTAGTTTTTAATGACAAGTTTCGTACTCCCAAACTCGCTCTCTCTGCCCTCTAGACCAATTTTAGTTTTTGGCCAAGAGACAACTAAAGCGAATAATGGAGACTCCTCAGCAAAGTCTGAAGAATCACCTTTAGTAATAGGCCTGAGGGGACACCTTTGAAGTTAAAGAATACCCAGTCCATCGGATACTGGCCTATCCTATTGCCGCACTGGGAATCAACGGAGATTACTTAATGCAACCAGCAATTAATTTGTTAAGGCCAGTCTGAGAGTTAGAATATCCAAGTGCAACATGACTCCATTGAAGAAGGAGGGCGTTCCTCGACTGCCTGAAGGCCAGTTGCAGTTAGATCAGAGCATTTTAATTTGCGACTGCCTTTAATGGTTGGGATAATTGTATGCATTCGAGGTGCTATTCCTCATGTCAGTCTTTCTGATTTGCAATGTTTTGGGCTTTTATAGTTATGATGTTTAGAGTATATTGCTGCTTTTTAAAAGGTTGCATAAATTTACAGACAAAACAGACCATTAAGTTAATTAGACCATTAAATTTTTGAGCGTCTGCGCAATAATATAGCTTTATTAAGGCATTTCATTATATATTTATACAATGTGTATATACACATCTGCAACTAATACAATAATAGTTTAAGCAAACTTTTTATTAATATTTTTCTTGTTTTACCCTGCTTCCTCATCTACAGCGGATGTAATGAATCCAAATTGTTAACACACCAGAGCTGCAAACATATAAACGAAGAACACTTCACTGCCCTTCACAGTATGCGCTTTGGTTATTCAGCGTAAATCCAAGTAAGGTAGGACAATTAAACATTTTATGTGATTAAATATCTGTTGTTATTTGACACTCAAGCTTCTAGGTCTCATTGGAGTTTTGGAGGTCACTTTTATACTTCCCAGTTAAATCTTCCATCACAATGGAGCCTCTACAGTCAATAAAGCAGCCGGTGCCTTTTAAGTGTTAGGCCACACGGAGACACACGTGTTTTCAAAACCACAAGAAGATGAGCCATTGAACAATATTTCTACAAGCCTTTAATGATAACCTTGAGCAATACTGGTACCTGCTACATAATATCTATTGATTCCATCCAGCATGATTTCCTTGAGTAGCTCGGTTGAAATGACTTTGTGTGTTTGGAACTAAGCATTTCAAACAGACTGCTGTATACCTCTGCGGCAATCAATCAGCCTTAATCCAAAACCAATTTACTCCGCCTGAAGAGGAAAATATCTTTTAATCTCTTGCCGACAATCCCTGATTGCAGTGCTGAGCATCAGTTGACAGTAAAATGGAGGCTCGTCTGTGATGGAACCTCTAGTTTATGTACTACACAAAACAGTCTTTAAGTCGTGTTATGTACTGTAGGCAAAGAGGTACCTTGAATTGCAATATAATTGCCTTTTTGGAGTTCATTCTGCTCAGGAGGAGTGCAATTATTGGTGCAC